CGATGCCACTGTCGTTTGTCGTTGTCGATTGATCGCGCGAGCGACGCCGCCGCCACCGCTGCTACATCCGGTTCGTTCGCAATATCGGCCGTTTGTAATTTAACCCTGCGCTACGAGCTCGATGCTATTTCAGTAGGTGTTTCCGTTGCTCCGCATTAGTGGGGTAAAGCGACACTTTATAAACAGCCAATGTATTATGATAATGTTGCGGGAATCGCGTAGAGAGGCTAGGTTTGACGTTACAATACTACCACCACGCCGATGATACGGATGCGCCACGGGGCTGGGAAATGCGAGATTGCTAATTTCGCGATTCCGCGTCGCGTACGCAAGAGCGACGAGGACCGATCACGACGACGGTCCGGAATTTTCAAATTTTTGAGTGGCTTGCCGTATCTATCTCTAACAGCGCCTCGTGCCTCGAACAGTCTCGCTTTTCGAAATCGATTTCCTCTCAGGCGGATTTCCTCTTTAATTGCATCTTCTTCTGTAACTAAGTTCAGAAGAATAGATAAGAGAACTTTGTAAAGGAGATTTTCAATCGAACGAACAGGGACGTCCCTTGGATTCAATTTTGGAGCGAGAAGAAAAAGGGAGGAGAGAAAAGGAAGTGTCTGCAAAGAAATAAATAAAAAAATTTTTGTCGCGTAATACTCGCGTAAATAGAAAGAGAGAGAGAGAGAGAGAGAGAGAGAGAGAGAGAGAGAAACTAACAATTTGGAGAGAACGAGCCATTTAAAAAGCTGCAATAAAATATATTGTTTGCGAATAAAATATGGCAATAAGAGGTAAATTTATTTTCCGCTGATACATCTCTTGCTGCAAAAAAAAGAGGGGAAAAAAAATAGTACGATTTCGTTGAAATGAATGGATTTCAATCAAAAAAAGCAAACGTTATTTGTTTGCGTATATTTTACTATAATACGTTACATCTACATTTGCAGAAAATATGTAAAAGATTATTTTATTTTATTTACAACGTAAAAAACGTAATTCGACATACACTGCCGATCAAAAGTTTGAGACCACCGTACATGTTAGAGAACGAACTTCCACTCTCTGAAAATAATTTTATTTAAGAAACTTCTTACGTAATATCCAAATGTCTATAGTTGTCTATAGATACAAGATAAATGCAAAAATTTGAAAGAAAGAAGTGAAAGAGCAATTTGTAACATATGTCACATGCTTCCCATCGAAGAAATTCTTCTTTGTTCTTCAGTAGCAACTTTTGCAGTTCTAGGCAGTCTTTCGATTAATTTATTTGAATTTTCGAATGGGATATTGTCGCGAAAATGTTGTCAAATCTTCGTGAAACGTTTTCGCGAAGTCAGAGCACATGTTTTCGAAACTGTCTGTCAAGCTCTCTTCAATGTCAGATTAAAACCAAACTAGGCTAGGCTAATTATTATGATTTTTCGAGAAGAATACTTAGCATCATTACTCCTAATAATAAATTTAAAACATACTGCGTAATGAATTGAAAAATTTTGGCAGAAATATCTGCAATCTTACATTAATATTACCATTAAGATTCTACATTAATACAACTTGAACCAGTCTTTAGACCTATTTGGTATATATTTTTCACATAATTAACAAGAATGTCCGGTCTCACATTTATCGCGCGAGAGATATCGAAGTCGAAACGAAGAGACCGGATAAGTACTCGGTTCCGATGCTCGATCAGGATAATAAAACAAACTGTAACGCGGGAAGCGGGGGGGGGGAGGAGGTGGAGTAATTTGTTACCAAAGCAGACGTGACGAATCGTCATCGATCGTGGCGTCCCGTTCGCGTGTCTAATTTCAAATAGATATGTACTTGCTGCGTAATAACAATGTTGTTACCGTTCCAAAGGCCCCTTCGGCAAGTTTCGAGAGCATGCGGAGGCGATGACGTGGGAAGAGCGGGACGCTCGTCTGCTCCAGACGTTTCTTCAAAGCCGAAAGTACCTCCTGTTGAGTCGGTGACTGAAACAAAGAAAGGACAATGCGTCGTTCGTGATATCGGCCGATAATCAACGATCTACGATCACGCTACAACGCGGGGCAACGCGAGTCATGGTCGGTACCAGGGGGTTTCATAGAGGCTGGTCAGAGGATGAATTATTCGTCGATTCCCGTG